ATTCTGCCCCTGAGCGGGGCGGGCGCGTCTACGCTGCTGCGCCTTCACAGCCATTACGACGAACGCAACGCCAGACCGAATCAACCTTCGTTCTAACTATTCTTCTATCCTTCTGCAGAATAAACTATTCCCATCAATCTGCCTTTCCCAAGACTTCTCTCACCTCCTAAGGAACCGGGCCTGGGAGATCGCGGCCGTTAGGGATGAACCTTAGTAGCCTTAACACCTTGCGATAAAGTGTTTACTGTACATCCATCTTCCGCGCTCCAACTAAAGCAGACGTAAATAAGGTTAAAACGGCCTCCTTTTTTACAGTGACCCCGGGGGGAGGGGGCGGGCTCATTGGATGAAATTCAAATTGTCAGTGATGAATGCGAAAGGGCAAGCAGTGCGGTCTAACTACGCGCAAACGATTCTCTACCTCTTTACTCGCGTAGTCGGTCTTTCGACCTGGTGATGATGAAATTTTGTGGGGCTACGCATTTCACAGATCTCCTTACGTGACTGAAACCAAATTCCACTGAGCACAGCGACACGTAAACCTTTAATGTTCCAAGGGCGGATACTTCTGGCACATAATTAGTAAACACTTTAGTGTGACGCGGTAAAAGTGAATAATAGTCGCGGGTAACGTCTTATAAAGGCAACGCCGATCAAGTGGTTACGTTGGCAAACCCACGTGACTTCGCTTTCCATAAAAAAATCCCCGCGCGGTTTACACAAGACGAGCCTGTGTTTCCCGATGGCATCTTATCAAGCATGTAATGATAAATGGTTCAGCAAAAGGACGATGCTGAGACACCATTCAGTTTCATCCTCACGGGCATCCAGATCGACAAGGATGCTGCAGTCCATCCCTATGCATGTGGCAATCAAAAGAGTGGTATAATCAGGATGATCGCAGTCCATGATACTGTCCAGCCTACAAATGTGTGCCTATAAACAAACGTTGATCAAGCGGTATGCCTGGGTAATGCAAGCTACTCCGCAGCACAACCACAGATAGGAAATGTGAGGCGCACGCTACTTCAAAGGATCTGACTGTACCTTACTGACGAAAAAGCAGAGGAAGTGTTGTAACTCTGTTGAGTCTTTATGGGTTTTTTCGCCAAGGTATTTAGCCACCGTAGTAGCATTGCTACCATCTATTTTCGAATCTAGACGGGTGTCATGATGACCGAACTTTAGCATGCTTAGAAATGCAATGTACTGAAGGTTCAAATG